CACAGGATGAAGAGGAAATCGGCGGCTAACTGACTGACGTCGGTAACCGATGTCATCAGTCGCACGACTTTATTACGAAAGCTAGTACCGACTTCGGGCCTGCGATAGATGTCCCTCAAAAACGGCAAGATGCGATGTCGTAGGTACTTCCTGATCAATCGCTTGTCGTCCGCAAGATCGGTCAACACAGACAGTACAGGACTTATTAAATGCTGCTTTAATTTCGGTACCTAAACATAACGATTAAACACATATCAATGAAAAAAGCATCACGGTTAGGAGTGACGGGGTAATCAAACTGAAGGGAATAAACGTTCCTTCATACCCTCTCAGGGAGATGTATCGCTCCTGCCCTTAAGTGTTTAACTCCAAAATTTGGTCAGCGTCGTCCTCTTGAACAGATATGCTAATTTAAAGGCATAATCTAATCAAATCTTTTAGTGCACGATTCCTTCATAGTGATGTAACTGCTTGAGAGAATAAGTTCCAGAGCACTACAATGAATCGAGTGTCACCACTCCCCTCCCCTTCCTCCCACAACCAGCACATTATGTGAGCGGAATTTTGAGATAAAAATTAAGGAAAGCAACTTTTCGATAACTTTAAGGTACTTCTATTATAAAGAAAAGTAAACTGTAAATAGTCTTAATGTAATGAATGACAGTAAATCTTTTAACTTACATTGTCGCACTGTTCAGAAAGAAACGTCAGCAGCTTTTCGACAACCACCATATTATAGCCTTCATACGGATACAACTCTTTGGCCGTGGGGTCAACTGGAAATATCAACGTCTGCGACAACGCACGCACGGGTATCACCGTCAACAGATTGACAACGTTACTAAAAATTAAAACAAGAAATTAACACAATCACAGCACCCCACAATGCTCATCATGCACAGATGAAAAGAGGATTGACGGAAGGCGATCGTAAAACCATAACAGCAATGGTTACATGTGCTGCTGATTATCATATTGAATAGTCGGCTATCAAATAGGCAAACGAGGACTTGTAGCCCTAGGAGGCGCTCACATCAGACCACGTGGCCGTATCTCGTATGATGTGACCACATCGGAACAGCATGCTGACACTGTTGTTCGCAAGTCAGCGACTTGCTGCATATATCTCGACTGGCTACATCAAAGCAAACATGGGATATAGGCCAAGGCGAGAGCAGAATACTTCAGAAAGTAACACATTAATAGCAAATATTATTCCATGGTTGAAGGCACCAAAAGCATTATTGTTCCTGCAGATTTAGAGGTCACAGCTGCGGTGATTCCGGCACGTATTGCGAATGCTTCTACAAAGGAAGGCGAAACAGCTTCTACATGCTTAAATACCCGAGATGGCTAAGAATAACCTGAAGAAAATGCGTGGAAAGATCATGCTCCAGACTCAAGAAGGGCTATCTTCTGATGAAGCTCAAACGCTGGCCATCAAACAATGTATGACGCGCCTGCATTAGCCACTCAAAACGATAAGCGGCCATCGAAACCGACTGACATTATCATCTTCTTCATTCTTGCCACTATCTTTGTCTTCCTTCCTATAATAACCGTTGTCATATTTTTCTTCATCAGTGTCACCTCATCATCGTCATTATATAATCACCGCCATCATCACCGTGTGGCCACCGGTGTCATAATCAAGGCATGACGCATTATCCTGAGGAATTCTGGGCAATCTGTGCCTGATTCTTGTGGCACCACTCATGCTTAGATGAACGCCACAAGAATCCCACAGAATAATAAGTCATGTCATTAATGCTCTGAACCGATAAAAATAATGACGACGATGACAATGGTTATGACGAGGAGGAGGAAAATAATATGGAGCTAATTACGATGATGATTACGTTAAGAAAAAAACGATGATGATTACGATAATGAAAATGCGGAGAAAAACGAAGCAGAAGATAACGCAGATGAAAAGGAAGAAGAGGTAATGGCTATAATGCGGAGGAGGACAAGACTGCGGTAAAACTGAATACTTTGAGCGATGTCAATGGGAATAATGATAAAAGCATCGACTTTCGACGCAGATATCCAGTTTCAGCTTGCACTTCTTTACGTCTCGATGGTGAAGCCAAGCCACATTGTACTATTTTTCCGGGCAGTAACCACCATTTCTTATCATAACGTGATTACAGTGCTTCAATTTCAGCTCTGTTGAGTGTTTTCTCTTTCATTACTACGAAACAATTCCTCTGAGCAATACTTTATAGTGTACTTGAACTGATTTCTGTAAAAACTGTTTTCCAATAGAATGAGGGTGATGTCTTGACATGAAAACAAACGAGTGGTCACTAAAGAGTAGAGTAACGGAAATGCACCTGCTTGAGCTAATACCAGCCATTTTGCACTTTGGTGACTTATGCCAGTAGTTTTACGATTTCTCTACATATGATTCACATAATTCCAACATATGTTACAATATTACATACATTACAATATTACAGTATCATTTCCCCAAATTCGCACGGCGCTGTCGTACCATACCCCTTGATTCAAGTAGCCTAGGGGATCCTCTAAACAAGCATAATTCCATGGTATTTTACCACTTTCAGTGCACTTGAGCAAAACAGTGCCGCCCTGTTGAGTATATATATAGTATGTATATGTAGGCAGATCAAAACGTAGTTAAAACAACAGAAGAACACGAGCATTCAAACCATGAAATACTGCCGCCGAGAGCGAGACGCCCCTCGCGGAAGGAAGATCAAGTTATACGATAGTAAGACAGCATTATGTCTCCATTACATTGATGGGTCGAATGAATTAAAGAAGTCACTTACTTCACCAACTCGTACCACGAATCGGAATGACCGGTTTTGATGAGGAGGTAAGTTCGCATAGTTTCGGACAAATCGATGAAATAAGACTCGGTGTCCTGAAAGAAAAACAAGCATGTAGTTTCATTCCACTAGCAAAGAAAAGGAAATAAATTTCCAGGCAGGAAAGCTTACAAAAGCATTATTACAAAGCTGATGTTTAAGAAAAGGATGAAATTTTCATCAATCAGAGTAAAGACATTTCTGTCTGAAATTACTATAAGTTGACAAAAGCACAGACGTTTTCGTTTTAAATGTGTCAAAGAATTTATGAGCTATAGCAGCTCTCACTGCATCCTTATCGTCGAGTAATATAATACTTTCATCCCCATCTCAATCGTCCAGAAATGATGTAATAGGATACATTTCATATTTTAAATTCTGAACGGATCGATTACTGACAAGGGATTAGGATGATATAGTGTCATGCCGTCTGATATTTGACAAAAGAAAAAGTTCCAAATGACAAGGGTCACAAAATAGTTACGCCCAACTGTTCCCAATTGCTAGTTATGTAACTGTTCCTTATACATTCATCAGAACGGAAGCGACCACGCAAATGACTGCGGAATGCATTGTTACAGAAGCGTCGATGCATCCGTTTTGCTCGGAAAGGTGATACAAGCACTGAATGTCTTTCGAACCTCGTTATGCGTCGTTTCTGACAGGAAACCACAACCAGCGACGGAGCGAACGTACGGACAAATAAATGAATAACTGAACGGTTGTGTGAAGAAGTGAATGCGTGAATGAAAGAGCGATACAGCGAACGAATAAACGAATTAACTGGTGAATGAATAGCCGAGTGGTTGATCGACTGACTGACTGTCAAAATGATTGATCAGTTGACTCACTGACTCTGCCACTTAAAACCACTATCACCATTTTTTTGAAAAGAGGCACCAAGTATATTAAATAAGTAGACATCTGAAGCAAGTACAGACCATCAGGCAGGATAAGTACCGACACGGAGGAAGAACTAAAAGTCTATACAAATTGGCCCCTACGAATTACGTAATTGCTGAATGTGTACACTGTAGTACCATCGCTAACTAGCCCATAAGGAAGAGCACAAAATTTGTACTACACGTTCAAAACATTTATTCTGCAAGAGCGATAGAAACACAGAATTATGATCTCATAAGTTACGGCACCATACCTCCAGAAATTTATATACCTTCCAAATGTGATAACCTCTGACAACTACTGATATCATTTTTATTACAACAGCTATAGAACTTCGAAGATTTCAAACGAAGTTCGTTTTGCTACTTACTTTGTCCATTTCTTTCGATCTGAAACATAGCAACAGGTTGAACAAAGTCTTAAGCGACTCCATAACGACTGGAAAGTTTGTTTTGTCGATCTCCGTCGGATTCTGTGCCAGAATGCGTTTCAGCCCGGCGAGAATCGTCTTGTGGGTTCCCGCATCGAGGAACTTCGCTCTGCAATCGACCTCCAATGCAGAGAGTACAAAAATGACTCGCATGATAAAAAACGTCTGATCGCCAGATTTCTGGTAACTTTGTTGTAGGTCATTCTGTAGGCTATCGCAGTGCCTAAAAAGTATAAGTCACTATAAAAGCGATAAAACAAAAACAAAACACAAATAGTAACGTATGTTGGATAGCGTTTTGTTCAATGTAATGATGACGTAAGCAAATACGCCCAGACAAACCAAGAAAGAACATAGACTCCCGCCTTTACTGTCAGCAACGGAAATCATTTCTTAAAGTGATGACTCATATTCAACAACAAGGTTACTGTGGCTGATGTTTAGTTATCGTCATCAAAGGCTAGAGGAGCACAAATAGTACAATATCTGAGATTTATGATTTCTGACCATTAAATATGGTATCTCAACAATAGGGTACCAGTGCAGTAATACATGTACTTAGAACAACGAAAGAAACACGAAAAGTGGGAATGCTACAAACACCGGATATGTGAACAGCAGACAGCACGGTGGCTACAATGTTTTAAAAAGAAGCCATTCATGAGGTCTTAATGCTTTAGTGTCTGTCATCACAATCAGTAGCATCCTTGAAGGCCTACAGGCTGTTCAAGACTCGTGATATCCGCTCACCTTCACCTTTCTTATTTTGATATTAGAATTTGTTCAATGCGCCGATGAACGCACCCGTTATTCCACATCGACAACACACGTCCGTTGAACATAATTAATTCATTCCTGAAAGTGCCCCTAGTATACTTATCAATGAAGATGGTGTGCCCTTCGTGATGAACGAGCCAATTGTCCAAACATAAACTTCATACATAGTTTATTGAAGAAAATACGTATTTTTTTACTTTATACAGTAGATTTTTTTGCATTATAAATCTTGCATCAATAATTGAAACACGCATTCTATTTCGATAAAACACGCATTATATAGTGAAAATACATTAAATATGGATTGAAGACTGCAAGGCAACTGTGCCCATCCGAAGCAATGACCCCAATGATCCAGCATGTCATGATGATGAACAACCTGCATGAAGCTCCTTGATTGATGTCACAGTCCCCCGTTTGAGTGACAACTCCCATTGGAACTTGGGTCGTGGCTTGGGTTCTAAGGCGGATACAGTTTTGTCATGTTGAACAGGTGCAGATAGTAGAGATGCAAGGAAGAGTACACTGGAGAGTCCTATGTAAAAGTATGGAAGGCTGTAAATGTATTAAAGGCTGTGAAAGTCGAAGCCTAACTGGGAGAACTACTCTAAGGCCATGAGGCACGTGCCATGTTCTTCCTGTCATCATTTCAGCCGCTGGAAAGAGTTCTAAAGGCTGGGTGATGCAGGAGCAGTTTCAGCTCGAAGGCACACAACTGTCTAGGAAATGATGCGCTGCCAGAGATAGTCATTCTGGTGCTTATAATCAGGCAAGGAGAACTGTACTCTGTTCTGCTTTACACTGTGCTTCGAAACCCTGATGTACGTCAAAAACTCAATAGGTATCTGACTTATTTAATCAAGCAACATGCGCAGTAAATACAATGGGGAACAATAGCCGACTGTCTTATAGCAGCCATTAAACCGGACAGTAATAAGGGACATTCACGAAAAGCACCAGTGTCTAACGAGAAGTAATGGACGAATCCTCCCCCTCCCCACCAAGACCGCATAAGCCCATTTTCAGCCACCCTTTGAACCCAGCATCTCAGCCACCAGACTCGTGGAATATGGTGGCACAGGAAAGGTGATTGTTTAAGGACTGACAGTGACAATCACAGTGATTGTTCATGCTGTTTAACTAGACAAGTTGGACAAAAAGTAAGTGCATGTTGTATAACGAGATTCAGAAAAGAATAGTGGGGATCAAGTCGCTTATGAGCAGCTATGCGTTCAGGCCGAAACGATTACAGTTATGATGATACGGTCAAGTAATCAGGGTGCAAGAGGATCGATTGACAAGGGGAACTTTCCGCAGTCACAGAATGCAAA